CGTACAGATTGGTGTGATAATGGTGACAAAAAGTCATTTTGACAGAGAGCCGTGTGTGGAGAATGAAGCTGAACCGCAACAAGAATTCGCTTAAATATGAGTCAGCATGTCTTGAAGCACATCTGGTTGCAATTCATTGCAGCTTCGGTTTCTTTGAATTGAATTTACTGCGAGCGGAAAAGCAACTCTTTGTTGAATCACTTGTGTGGATATCTTTGGTTTGGATCAGATGTTATCGTTTTGTTTTCAGAAAGCACAATGGGTATTTCATGCGTTTTGAGCGTGGATTGCTGTGACTTCATACCGCAAGAATGGTCGACCGTAGGCAAGCATGCAGTGTGTTTGCCACTTCACTGGACAGAAAGCGAAGTGGGTTCACAGCGCGCAAGAGGATTTCATTTACCTCCTCATCGCCGGCCAATAACAAAATGGCGACCGCTTCATGATCTAACGCTATCCGATACAAGTGCGGCATCGAAACCGTTGCCTTTGCCAAGGCAATAATGCTCAGATTTGTGTGCAAAAGATTCTTGAGTCCATTACCATGGGTGGAATTGGCAGTGGTGTCGGACTGTATCGCACCATCCTGAGATAGGTGGCTAATATTTTCTCATCAGATCTTGGTCATGTGAGTCAGGTGTGTTGCAAGAAGGAAACATTTCCGACATGCAGGACAGTGGCCCCCACGAGGACCAGAGTTTAACACCTGTGTCCCACGGGATAAATGTTAAAAGAAGACAAGTGATATTGGATAACATTTATTTGCTGGTATGATTGCACTTTCTTAAATAGACCTCAGAACTGAGCAAAATATTAGGTACACCTTGAACCTAATATTTTTGTTGAAAATGTGTTTTGAACGAATTCAGAGCCTTTAGCAAATGTGTGTTAATGAGATTTTTGGCCCATGTTGAGATCTCAAATGGACTACTGTACTGTTAAAAACAAAATCTGAATGGGAACTGATTTGCACTGTGCGATGTGTTTCGGTGGCGGTCGGATGACTACGGAGAGGAAACTAACTTCCAATTGAACTCCTGAGCTTCGAGATGTAAGCTACTCTGCAGTCTTTTAGTCGCATTTTGTATTCCCCACACACAAAAAAAACTGCTGCTTTCATTCGCATCAATTAGTTTTGCAGTGGACTCAACTGCCCTGCGCTTGCAGGTAGGAACGTGACATAGACACTCAAGCTCATTCATCTTTGCCTCCGCCACAGTCACATTACATTACTACGCCTGTTTGCTTTTCCTCCAGCTTGTTTCCTCTGACAGTGTTATGTGTGGAACCAATATGATTTGTCAACCACCTGGAACATTTCTGACAGTTAAAAAAACAGCTCTTCATCTAGCTTTCTGCAAGGACCAGCCAACGCAAACAGGAATAAATGCATCCTTGGAAACAGCTAGATCAGGATGCATATCAGCGAGTCAGCGACAATGTGCATATAGTTTTACTCAATTAGTAAGGAACTCATCTTGAATATCAGCAGGTACCCCCCCCCCCTCTTCTAAATTGCATGTGTGCATACTGATCCAACAAAAATACTGGTTTGGATGAGGGATTGGGAGTTATGTTTGGTAGTCAAAGGGAGGGCCAGCAGCACATTTTGATACAACGATGTCTGTGTGTACCTCCTGACCCGAACCAGAAGATCTCATCTGTGCTGCCGTCAATCACTGTCAGATGCGGCGAGAGAAGTCCTCATTCGGCTGAACAAGATCAAGAAATCCCACAACAGGAAGTCAGCTAGAGAGCACTTTGCCTTTTTTTTCCTGTGGAGGCTTGGGGGACATTGGCTACCACTGTAAACTTATTAAGGGTGTATACATTGTTCAGACATTGTTACTCATTTGTTTGGATGATCTTCTCCTCGGAGAATTGGAAGCAGATATTTACCTGCAGTGGCATGCTGGCGGGTGATTCAGTTCGGAAGATGGGGGCCAGAATCCGGGCTCCGGCTTTCCTGTGGAGCTTGTGAGTAGTGTGGTACGGTCGCATGGCTTTTTGTTGAGTACTCCTGCTTCCTCACACATTCCCAAAACATGCATGCTCGTTCCATTCAAGGCTCTAAATTATCCTTCGGTGTGAATATGATTGTGAAAGGTTGTTTGTCTCTTGTGCTTTGCGATTAGCCGGTAACCACCTCGATAGCCCAAACAGTCTGCTGGGACAGGCCAAGTGGAAAATGGATTGCCTCTGTGGTGCAAGAATCTAGCACGAGGTTCCGATAACAAGTTTTATATTTGAATTATATATATATATATATATATATATATACATATATATATGCTGTTTACCACAGAGTGTAATACATCAATGATGGATGGATGAATTTACAACAAAAGGTGAGGACAGAGTTGAAAATAATGACGGTGAACATAATAAATGTTAGGCCTCTATTTCAGAAAAAAAAAACATTTTTTGGGCTTGTTTTTCTTGTTCTCGCAATTGGAAAGCGATCTCAATATGTTGGCCTGCTTCCTCTTGGTCCACTGCCAGTTGGATCTTAAAAGGAAGACAGTTTTCGACAAGTGTGCAATGACTGAGCGTCTCAGTCCATTTTTCCAGGAGAGAAGAGCCTCTCCCGGTGGTCCGCGGCAGGCAAGCTGCCCAGTATGTGCGCAATGATGGAGACAAACAAAAAAAAAAGCCATTCTCAGTGCCTCAATGTTCAATAACAGAAAAGGCAGTTCAGCATCAGCGGGGTGTTGAAATTTCATGTCGCCCACAACCGAGCAGCCATTGAGACTGAATAACAAACTGCCGTTTTCAGTGTGATTGTCATGACCAGGTGAGCATATTAGTCGGTTTCTTTTTATTTACTCTGTTGAGAACCAGCAAATTGAAAAGAGGTAACAGAGCCCTGCTATTCTCCTTTTCTAAATGTGGCGTTTTCACACCATATCTGTGTAATGATATCACAAAAAGGGGGTGCTTTAACATGATCTCTTGCCTTTGGTAAAAAATGTTTTGAAGGGTATATATGATGCATGGGAGGGTTTCCAACAAGATTAGGGTTACTATAATGTTACTGTGAAAGATTCTAGGGTTTAAAATAGTTCGTAAAAATGCTGGTTTTGTTCACGTCTGCAAACTTGAAACAAATGCAACTGAGGAACACAAGCTTCTGCAGCACACTTCTTTTTCCTACTTTTACTCATCTGATTACACGGTTTTCTGCATTTTAAAAAATGCTTGATTCCTGAGAGGAGTGAAATATGTTTACATTTCTTTCTTTTTGTACTTTGTATGTATAGAAACTTGAACAGAATTCATAGTATGCAAAGTGTGGACAGTCGTCGATGCGTGCGTGCTGTCTTAGTGGCAGCAGTTGGGGGACACCCTGAACTGGTTGCCAGCCAATGGCAGGGCACACATAGACGAACAACCATCCATGCTCACAATCACACCTAGGGACAATTTAGAGGTTTCCATTAAACTGCCATGCATGTTTTTTGAATGTGGGAGGAAACCGGAGAACCCGGAGAAAACCCACGCAGGCCCGGGGAGAACATGCAAACTCCACACAGGAAGGCCTGAGAGCAGCGTCAGTGTACACCAGCTTATGCAAAAATGTTATTTATTTTACAATATTTTAACTTGTTGGTAAATTGGGCCTCTTTCAGAAGCCATCGCATTTCAGGATAAAAAAATGACATTGAGGCTATTTTGTTGGATCTCAAAATAGGTTAAATTCCACGCAAGCTGCATGTAAGGAGTGCATTCTTTGCTTTTTCCACAGTAGACAGCTTTGTGTCTGATTCACACTGTGCGTTCACTCAACGCCTGTCGATTGCATTTTCAGAGGTGGATACCGAGCGGTCGCCTCGAGCCATGCCTTCGAATGCATGTCAAGAACACACAAGTCTTCATAACCGTTTGGATGTAGTGGAAAAGGTGACTTATTTCTGTTTTTGCAAATTCTGGCCCAAAAGTTCACTTTCAACTTATAATGGTTAGAGAATATAACAGAGAATGCTTTGTTTCCCAATTTTGAGGTTGCACCCTCTCTGCACTGCCGAAAAAAGCCCGCATGTTTCTTTTCACCTAAAAGTGTGGCTCACCACAATATAAAATTTCGAATTCAAGTCATTTATTGCTGCTGTTCTAAGTCTCAAAAACTCATCAAGAACTCATAGACTTCATCTGACCTTCCCTTCCTAACTGCTTTGGGCAATTGTATAATTCATATGAATCAAAGGATTGCATAATTTATGACCGATGATTCCATTATTCATACTACAGCTTATTAATGTATTATTTGGTCTCTCAGGACAAAAACATACCCTCTGTATTTTGCAGAAAGTGGAAGACACTCTTGGCAAGTTGGAGGTTGAGCTGGCGGCTCTCCTGGAGGCCATTGGAGACCCAAAGTGGCGCCCCCAGTTGGACAAGACGGGAACACCTGTGGACATCCTCGAGGACCCGCTGAACATGAAGTCCTAAATCCTTGAGGATTTTGAACTTTAACAACAGAGGAGCCTTGCATTACTTCCATTTCCTGTCGTTATACATTACATAATTACAGGCCCATTAATAGAAGGAGAGAAGACTACATTGACTCACAAGGTTTTATGGACAGGGTGGGCCTTGCCCCCACATGCAAACGTAGCATACAAGGACACATTTCTCCAACAGCTAACAAAGGCTGAGAAATTGCTTTCACAAACAAAGGTAGTATGTTGACAGCATTACTATTATAATTACTGATATTTATTCATTAGTAAGCTATCTTTGTTCATCAATGCATGTCAGCGACGTATTGGTGACGCACTGATGAGCGGAACATTAAAATTTTCTTCCATTCAACAGCAGAAGGTACAATAAACTTGTGTATATCCACCGGTTGTCATATATGCAGACAAATAAGTCATGTCTTCTGGTGAATATAACAGCTCAGTGATCACAATTCAACAGGCCGACATTTCACACGGAATTAGAACATTTATTGGTAAATTGAGGTAAGACCCTCATCTGCATTTATACTTTTTACATTTACGTGTGTCGGTTTCATTGATGTGAAATGGGTGCTAAATAATGGTTGAGAAACACTAATCTAATCATAGTCTCTGACAAGCTTGATGCACATTGCAAATTCCATATTCAACAGGAAGGAGTGATTAAGCTATTATAAATGCATTGTTATGCACTGCTGAGAATCATACATGAATGAGCTAAACTCATTCAGAAACGTCATTCTTGTCCCTCTTTATGTAAACCATGGTGCCTCAAAATGCATTTCCAACTTAACCTGCCTCTAATTAAGCTGCAAAAAAAAGGGGGGGGTTCTGATGTTAGCTGTTACTAGTACTGATGAAGACTTAATTTCTTGAAAAATTTCATATTCTTATCTTAATAACATAACTGTCATAAAAAAACTAAACATTTTTCAACTTACTGTCACAATACAAATAAACAATGTGCATGCTAAAAGTGTGATTCTCAGTCATCCTGGTCATGACACAAGGTCAACCACAATTGAGGCAACTGGACTCATCTTGTTAGTTATTTTTTCCCCCAAAACATTTAAAAATGTCTTAAGGCAAATATGCTATTCGATTTTATATATATATATATATATATATATATATACACACACACACGGGTGCTGGAATGATTCCTCAGAGAGTTTGGTCCATATTGACATGATGGCATCACACAGTTGGCGCAGATTTGTCGGCTGCACATCCATGATGCGAATCTCCCGTTCCACCACATCCCAAAGATGCTCTGTTGGACTGAAAACCATTGTGGTGTCGTCACGTATGGGGAGAGATTTGTGTCAAAATTAGTAACACGGGTCCATCCACGGGTGTCATGTTTGTCGGATCCACAAATACATCAGCAATCCCCCCCTTTTTTTTTATTTATTTTTTATTGTGTCTCATGACTTATTTGTAAATATTCAATTCTGTTTGTGACGTGTCGAATGTGCGTTTGTGGATCCATAGACACACCCATTCATTTTTCACACAAACGTCACATCATTTTAAGATCTACACACACACACACACACACACACACACACACTCTTGACTCACTTGTACTGTACTCATCTTTTCAACTGAGGCTTTATTCCTTCAGGAGACAAAAATACCCAACTGACGCCTTCTGGGAAGGAGTTTTATTTGAAGCAGCATGTTATGAACACAAAAGCAGTTTCAGTAAGTTTACAGTACAAGGCTTTTCATCGTTTACCTCATAAAAATCCTGTTGCACAAGAATTACATGGAGGAAAGGAGAAACAAATTGCATTGTCTTAATTTAATGGTAACAGGGCACCGACTTCAAAACTGTAATCGACAGAGTTAGAACATGTATCCTTTTGCATACCTTGAGGGCGTCGAATTGGACCACGGCTGATTAGGAGACATGCTTTGCTGGTCAAGTACGAGCACAGAAGGCTTTGAAAACACCTAAGAGCATCCAAACATTAACACTTGAAAGGAACACGTCAGGAGGGTAAGCAAGCAATGTCCATCTCGGAATGATCACTGCTATCGAAAAACAAAACAGATTAGCATTGCAAGCCACACCTAATCATGAAAATCAATTATCCATTTAAAAACAATTGGCAAACAGCATAATGCTCACAGGCTTGTGATGCATCTTATTTCAAAGGCGTGTGGACTGTTTTCAGCCCCCCACCCCCATATGCAATATTTTCTTCATGTGCAGAAGGAAGTGAAAGGAACCCCTCAAACAACTCACCCAGAAAGTGCACGAGCCTTGATATTTGAACATCGAAGCAAGAATATGAAGCCATTGAACACTAGATTAACAGCATTGAAAGCATTTTGATGGTGTGGTCTGATCAGATGAGTGTCGCTCTCATCGCCATCGCAAAGTCTGTTCACCTACATTGAAGTGCAATAATATTGGTGGACTAGACCAGACCCCTCTCATGTGGAGTAGGCACGAGCGGCAAAATTATCGGTATCGTTTGGTGTTGATGTGTAGTACTTGAGGCTGCAGGGGTTGACTGCTTTTTCTATCAATACAAAAGACGGCTGGGATAAGCCCGCACGCTTGCGACCCTCGTGAGTATAAGCGGTGCAGACAATGGATGGATGGATGGATCAATACTGTACAATATTGAAAACATAAAATTAATAATATGCAGTTTGAAATAAATCGATAAAAAATTGTTTTTTAATCATGACCATCCTGCATCTTTGAAGGTTTCTGAGAGTCAGATGAAGTAAGATCCTGATCGATCACGAGAAAATAAAACTACTTCATGCTTCATGAAGGAAGTTACTTAGTTTGGTGTTTACTCTCAACGTAACTGGCTATGGAACTCCAATGGCCACGACTACTCTTTCGGCATATCCACGGCACGGCAGACTTTTCAATACTGCACAGTATTTTTATTTTTTTTATTAATGTTATGCTTGCAAATGATTGTGTTCAAACACATTTAACATCTGTTTAAAATGCGGCTACTAACATGTTCAAATTTGTTGAAAGCGTGTGGTCGGTGTAAAACTATATAAAACCATTTTTTTATATGACGTCACTACAAACAGAGGTTTTCACTGAGTGCAGGTGCATCTGAACATATGCCCCGCGATAAACGGAGGTTCACTGAAATGCAACCGCATTTGTCTATAGCGCGTGGGCTTGGTTTCTTTTATGTCCTACAGCTTGGCAACAAATGTATGTTTACTACTACTGTCAAATTGTAGTCACCATCATGGCAAGTAATCTACTGTACGGGGAGTCCAGGAGAAAACAAAATCATTCTTGCTATGTCAACATTCAAAAATATCAAGAAAACCTTACAGGATCATAGAATGTAATTCAGACCATACAACAACACCATGGCGTCTATTGAACACCAGGTTTAGGCGCCTCAGTACAGATAAACGTCCAAAAACAGACACGCAGGCAAGTTGCACTTGGAATCAACAATGGTGCGAGCATTGAGGTATGCTATCATCAATAGCTTGTGCATGCACAAATCTGCCATTCAAGCTCAAGCTCCAGGCTTTGGCAAAATCAGGCTTATACCCCACTCAACATGCAAAACATAATAATAATCATCATAATATATTAATAATAATAATATAAAATAAAAATAAACACAGTATATGACAGACTCGAATGGTGCTACGTTTCAATGTTGGTAATCCAGTCATTCGAATCAAACCGTGTGGGGAAACACACATGCTGACTATTTTAAAGGAACAAAATTACGTTGGAACCCTAATATTCACACACCCCACAGTTAGGCTTTTTCATTCATTGATTGATTTATTAATTAATTAATTACAAGACATGGGTGAACTTGGCTCAAAAAGAATGTCGGGTCAAACACCAGCATACTCAAAGAGCTCCGTTCAGCAAGCGTCAAAGAATTAACTGCATGTTATGCGGCCAAGTAAGACGGAAGTGAAGTCAAAATCTTGTGAAATTAGATACAGGAGGGTCCTTGAAATTTGAAGAAAGTTCTGTCGCTAATGTGTTACAATAAATATTTATTGATGTTTTAAACACTTCAAGGCCATAAAATAACAATATACTATCGCAGTAACCGAGCGTGCTGACTTGGGCCAAGTGATAGTGTATCCGAACACCACTGGGCCAATTACTTCAATGTGTGCATTCATAACTCTGAAATGTCATAATTACAGTGAAAATTTGCATGAGAAACACTTGTAGGTCACGAATGAAAAATAATGAAAGAGTGGTGGCAACGAAACGCGTCTTCTTCAGCTGCGTCACAACGTATTGCGACGCCGCTTGCTGACTGATATTGGTTGCATTAGCAACGTAACTTTTGCCCCTTGTCAAAGAGTGTTTTAAAGATTATCCTCTTGTTTTTTGAATTACAGCCACGAACATATTTTCACAGCTGTACAGCTGATTTTCTTGGATTACTTAACGAAATCCAAACAATTCAGAAGTTGACATCCTGTTTAGAATTGTGTTTGACCATCGAGGGCCCACTGTAAGATATCCTGTTTTTGAAAGTTGATTAGCCTAGCTTAGCAAAGCTTTTTTCTTGTTCAAACACTAATAAATGTCCCAGACGATTGCTAAAAATAGTAAATACGCTTAAATTATGACTGATATATAAGACAATTTTAATCTCTTACGTCAACCTTTTGACACAAGTGCCCGTGGATGACATCAAAACAAAAGTAGGAGTAGGTTGACAGCTGACTGCAAGCTTTTAGGTCATACCATAGCTAAATTAAGCTATCCAGCTCCCAGACCAAATCAGCACTTTTGCGTGTCATTAAATTCCCTTCTTACCGGTACCTGAATTCTGAGAGTTTCTAAATATTGGCAATATGACTATACAGTGGACTATTAAATCCATGCCATACAGAAAGAAGAGAGACACGTACATACACATAATTCCTTAGAAATGGTTATGCAAATGGTAGAAAAGCTTTGGCCTATGTTGCCTACAAGATGTGCCTGCACACTTGGAGCGAAGAGCAGAATGAAGCAATGCGAAGGATTGACTCCACAAGCTTCTTTCTTTAGTTGAGTTTAAATGTGTCGAGTTTGCAGCCCCACATAAAACTGTGGTGACGTTATTTACCTACCAGTTACGCTATTTACATGTTTTTCATTTTATGACGGGCTTTAAGGTGGATCATTGCTACATGTTCCCACGTGTTTAAACCGAGAGCAATGGTCTCGCCTTAAACGTACCGCGATGGCAATTACTGGACTTGATCGTGAAAACTATTTGAAATGCTGACAGCCAGTCAGTTCGATCCCCAGGATGAGCACTGCAGGAAGGCGATTTTCACTGGCTACTTCCAGAGCATTTGCCGAACAAAAAGAGAACATTTTGAGAAGCAAATCTAATTTCCAGCTTCTTGACATTTACTCCTAAAAGTGACATACCTTAAGTCAGAGTTTATACACCATCTGACACACTGCATCTTTTCGATTTATGGTTTAAATGTGAATAATGCAAATAATATTAAGTTGGTCACTGTTGCATAAATGTGAATGACTTTATGAAGGTGCGGCAATAGAAGCACACCAGGACATCTTGAAAAAAACTAAACAAAACAATCGCTCTGAATTAGGGCATTCGTGACATAAGAGAAGCTGTGGGGAGGAGTGAAGCAGAGACAAGCTAAAACTGTAAAACTGCCTGTGCACGTTGAATAATTCAGTCATCCTAGGCTCATTTTGAAGAGGCGGCGAGGGAAAGCATCTCTACTAAAACCACCAAAGCCACCAAAATATCAGGAACAGCTATTGCTGAGGATGGCATCAGATTTGCCGAGCATTTTGCTTCACCTCCTAGCGTGTGATACTCTGTCATGCTGTGAATGAAGTGTAACATTGCATAGAAGTTGGAGCATTGTGAAGGACGGACAAGAAGGTGGAGAATCTGCTTCATTCTTGCCTTACCGGGGAAGGGAGCTACAGAATAAAATTAATTGGGTCCTGCAGTGCGTCTGTTCCACCCCCCCGCCCCTGCTGTGTGGTTCCACCCCTCCTGGCTACTGGAAAGGAGAGAGGAAAGAATATATCTATGGGCATGGCACTGAGAGACCTTCATCCTTTATCGTGCACCATGAGCCGATGTGGCACTAGCAGCTGCCAGGGGAGGAGCACACCGAGCCACACATGCTCAGTTTGGAAGAGGATTCGGGCTCTGGCTCGGGTTCCTGTTCCGGTTCGGGCTCGGCCGCGTCGTCGTCAATGCCGCCAGCCTCCGCATCGCCGTCCCCGCTGGCATCATCTCCCCCAGCCTCGCTATGACCCTCTTCTTGACGCTTTTTCAACCTGAGAGCAGGAAAAAAAATAATTCAAAAACGCAGTCCACACAGTTATAATACCGGTAATCAAGTTGCATTAATATTTGACACATACAGTGCTATTTTTAGGTCCCGGAAAGTAATAGATTTTGTAGAATGCAAGACATAATGTTAAAAGTTTAATGAGAGCAGTTCTGCTGTGATATTATACACCACATTATAAATAGAACTCATCAATAATCACCAAATTAGAACAAAATGAATCATTTCTGATAAAGAAGGCTTTCAGTACTGCTGCAGGGTCAGAACTGGGTCGATAATAAACCAGGCAACAATTTAAAGAACCAAAAAAGGGTTGAGATAACCAATACTTGATGGAACTGTAATCATGATTTACCAAAGTAGTGTGCACATATATAAATGGAATTTAATCCTTTCATGCACCCTGTAACCTGTTAACATGATGACCTGTCCACTGTTGAAACCGCTGTCCCCGAAAGGGTTAACATGCTAATCCTGTAAAACCAACTATGTATAACCAAACCTTTGCTATTTCATACTGCTTAATTCACTGTATCTGCTTAGTTGCTTAGCCATCCTTTTTTTTTTAGAATTTGGAATTAAATAATATCCTGTTTTAAGATGAATTTATTTTTACAAACTGTGATTGTCGTGTTTGTTAATTTTACATTTAATTTGCGGAAAGCAACAACTAAACACAACTTACATGATTCTGAAAAATCATTTGGACTGCTCAGTCAACAGCCTAAATTACAATTGTTGTTCTTAAGAACCCAATATGTTATGAGACTGTCACTCAGTGGAGCGAAGACCCTGGCACCAAGGAAAAACTGTTGACAACAGATGATGAACAGATGAGTAGTGCCATTGTGATTCTGGAGCAGAAATTTCCTTGCTTCGATGACTCAAACGGTGAAAATAAATTCCTCTTTTCACACCTTTTCCAGCTGCTCATCCACTTAATGGGTTCTTACTTACCTCTAACATGCATGTGGAGCATTGCACTAGCTCCAAATGCTAAGCGGAACTGTTAATTGCGACACATTTTCGTGACAGTATCCAATGTGGAGCCTTTCCAGTTGACACACATCACAGTTTCCATATACTGAACACGTGAAACAGCCTGCATCACCACATTCCCAAAATGCATGCAAATAACTACAAGTGTCAAAATGGTTAAATCACAACAATAGTAACCATTACAAACTCTTTAGGTGTCCTAGCTGCCCTTTAATGCAAGGAACCTTGATATCACCACAGTGGCTGCTATCGGCAGTCATTTTCCTTATTTGTCTTTGCTGCTAGATGTAGTTATGATTTAGCTTAGGTTTTGTGTGTGTGTGTGTGTGTGTGTGTGTGTGTGTGCGCACCAATTTTGTGCTTGTACCCAGTAGATCCATAGATTGCCTAATTGAGGCCAGATTGCAATCTGAGGGTATCTGATTACATGTGTCTTTTTCCCCCCCTTAAGAATCCGCGATCTACATCCAAATTGTGCCACTTGGCAGCAAATAATCAGAATTCCGTCATTTGCACCAGGTGGTGTCAAGCCACCCTCAGTTAGCTGTAGATGCAGCTTTGCCTTACTTCTCTCGGTTGAAAATCATGAATTCTTGCTGCACTGCTTCAAGGCACTCCTGTAGATAGTCATTTTCCTGCAAAAAAAAAAAAAAAAAAAAAAAAAAAATCACACACAAAAACAGTCCGACTATTCAAGTGCATCGATCTTGATCATCTCACATATCAACACCATCGTCCTCATTAGTGGCATAAACAGATGTCAATGTCAGTTTGCATCACAAATGACGTCGTAACCTCTGAGATCAGTTTCATTTTCAGTTCCCCCCCACTCTACGACACGTCATGAATTGTCTTCATCAAATTGGATGTTTTGCCCACAACAAAAAATAAAAGCTCACATTTGTAAAAGCTCTTGAGGCCATGACAACAGCTCTGAAGGCTCCATAATTTAATATAACCTTGGAAATAACCCAGCATGACAACACACAGGCTTCACCCATACACACTTGCAAGTTTCATGTCTCTGCTTGCTGGCTGTAACATGCTGCGGACATAGACAGTATAAACACAAACAGCCCATTCCGTATTTTCCGTACTAAAAGGCGCACCTAAAAGCCTTCCATTTTCTTGAAAGCTCACAGCCCGCCTTAAAATTAGATGTGCCTTGTGTATGGTCATTACGGTACAGTGTCAACCCCAAAATGGCTCCTTGCTAGAGACATGCTTACAACGCAGCGTTCAAACTTAAGGCGATTGGTTACGCAGTTGAACACGGAAATAGAGCAGCGGCAAGAGAGTTCAACGTTAACGAACTGTATAGCTGCTTTATTAAATACGTTTTACTGACATCTGATCGTTCTGTTGGCGTTTCCTTGAGCGTAGCTCCATCTAGTGGATGCATTGTAGATTGCATCTTATAATGCGTTGCGCCCAATGTATGAAAAAAAGTACAAAATGGGACATTCAGTAAAGGTGCGCCTCATAATCCCGTGCGCCTTATAGTGTGGAAAATACGGTACTGGGCTGACATTATTGTCACTGAGGCCTTGACACTATGATGGGCACAAGACTGTTGCGCCAATACACTGAGGGGAAATCTGTTTCGAATAACGTGTTGACAAAATAAAAACTGCAAGGACAAATAAAGAAGGGTTCTGGTTTGACATTGTATTGATTCCATCATTTTAAATGTGCCGATTACTGCAGATGTCATGTATGGTCAGGACGATGATACGTAAAGCAAAGGGAAGGACCATGAAGTGAATACAAAATATACTGTACAGTGATAAACCAATCGATTATATAGAATGGATGTACTGCAGGGATGACTTTATGGCAAATTTATTAGTGTAGTTGTAGTTTGCAACATACTGACATTCTGTGTGTTTTAGACAAACATAACATTGGAAGTCATTACATAGTTGCCGGTGGTTGGATGTTTTGAGGCTAGAGGAGGGAGCTGGAGTAGCCAGACAGAACCCACGCATGTACACCGAAGCCACATACCCGAGATGGTCGCCGCCTTTCACCAAGCCTCAAGAAATATTTAAAGTTTAATATGTTGCATCAGTGAAAAGCTCAAATAATATATTAACCCAAAACACAACATGAGGCACTGCAATACTAGAAAATATAAGTGAGGGCGACATTTGCACAGCATCAATATAAAGTCGTTGCATAAGATTTTGTGATTCTGGAGCAGTGGTTCTTAACCTGGGTTCGATCGAACCCCAGGAGTTCAGTGAATCGGTCTCAGGGGTTCGATGGAGACTCTGCCATGGAGGGAAAGACACGCCCGACTCAACATGTCAATTAGTTATGTCACAGCCGCTGCAGATGATCACATTACATCGCTTGTCCAATCAGTGCTGTTGGAAATTTAGTTCGCTCAGTAGTCAACGTGTGACTGTCGTGATACTACGTCGTGATTTTTTTTTTAGAATGTTATGCTATGTGGAGTGGTCAGAAGAATATGTACCACAGCTGTACGGCTAAGGACAGGGATGCTCTGCAAGGAGTCATAAAGGCGGCACAAAAAAATCATCGGCTGCCCCCTGCCATCCCTGGATGACATCGCGAACTCAAGAGGGCTACAAAGGGCAAAGAAAATCCTGACTGATCCATCCCACCCTGGCAGGTGCCTCTTCAACCTCCTGCCCCTGGGCAGGAAATATAGAGTCATGAGAAGCCGGACAAACAGACACAGAAACACTTTTTATCCCTGGGCAGTCAGGCTGCTGAATCTCAATTCCTCAAATCGTGTGCATGTGAATGTGTAGGCCTCGGGGTGTGCAATTTTACTTAATACCTCATGATATCTCTGACTGTATTTCAATTAGTCCGAAATAGTCCACATACTGTTATGTTAATCCCTGATTCATATCATTTTGTAAGACAACTTGGACTGTACCTTAACTAGTGCCGAATATCGAACATATTCTTATCACAATTTTTAACGTGTGCGTGTGATTGTGTGTGGGTCTAGGGGAGTGCAATGTATTTATATATTTTTTTTTTATATTTTTATACTTCGCGACGCACTTGGGGTTGGAGGCTCCTGCAGAATTTCGTTGTAACAAGTGTGCAATGACAATAAAGTATTCATTCATTCATTCACATGGATTCACATGCGTCACAGAACGTGATGGGACTCAGCATCCTATCTGCTTGATTTGTCATGCCAAGTTGAGCAACTCTAGTCTCGCACCGGCAAAACTGAAGGACCACTTCTTGAATCATATTTTTATTTTTCAGTAATGAAAGGTTCGATGAATGTGCACATGAACTGGTTGGGTTCGGTACCTCCAATAAGGTTAAGAACCACTGTTCTAGAGGAGGTTGTGGGAGGCCTTATAAATACTTAAAAGCTCAATCAGGGTGAAAAGTATAGTTTGAATTAGACTTATAAAGAAAAGAAACTCAACCTCTGAAACGTGTCTGAACTGAAATTGGTTGTTTTGTTTTCATGAATTTTTTTAAACACACACGAGGCAAAATTAAAAGTAGACAATGGCTGTTTTTTTTTCCAAGATTTATTCTAATTTTCAAAAACACCACTGGATACGATCATCAATCACTAACAACAGGATGAAACTTCTTCAGAAATAGCAAAAGCAAATGCTGAATAACTTAAGCTGAGCTGAAATGCTGTGGAAGTACCGAATTGCTGAATTGTAGATTGTGAAAGTTGGGAAAGTTGGAATGGTTTGAATCCTTCAAGAAACGCGGAAGGAGGAGTTCAATTTGAAAAAGTCTTCATTTGGGAGTTTTACTGTGAAAGTTTAGGATAGAGATGTGATAAATAATTCCAAAGATGTGCTTAATGATCTTAGTATTTTGAAATTGGAATGGGTTTAATCAGTAAGGAAATGATAAAGCAGGAGATAAATCCCTCACCTAAAATTGTATTTAAATTAGGGTAATTTGTTGTAAAATGTGTAGAATTTTGGTAATGTGCAAATAATTGGAATGTGGAAAATGTTTGGTTTTGGAATGGGATTTTTTTTTTTTTTTAATGTCTGATTCACCTGACTGGCTTTTGGGAGGGCTAAGGTTGGAACATATGCAGCTTTGTGGAGTGTGGAAAATAGAAATGTTTTGAATTAGGTGAATACATTTATGTTAGAATTATTTCAACTGTCCGAGAAATGTTGAAGAAGTACAACGATGAAAACTGGCATACTAGCCCTCCAGCCATCCATTTTCTAGAAAAACCACGCAAGCAGGCACAGGGAGAACAAGCAAACTCCACACAGGAAGGCCGTAGCTGCAATCAAACCCTGCACCTCTGCACGTACTAACCAGTCGATCACTGTGCCGTATTGGAGTAATATTTTATTTTAAAAAATAATCTTTTTGGCTATGAAATAAAGTGTCATCAGACATAATACTCACAGACTGTGAATCTTTACTGTTGTCCCTGGACCGGTTCTTTGCCAGTCTTTTCTTCTTCTTGTGAAGGGGACGTGATTCCAAAATCATCTCCTCCAGCTCAAAGGTGGGGTCGCAGTGAAGGCGACCTTTCTGCACGACAGGAGGAAGAATCCAAAAGAGAGAATTCAAAACCAAACAATTCATGTCTGCAAATCAGCAATGATATCAGGCTCCAAGGGACCTAAACATACTGGAACGTACAAACACAGTATTAACAAATAGCAACAATTAAGTTTGACATTTATTATTGAGTAGTTGCAGGTGCTCTGATTGAGCTGCAAAAAGTATTGTATGGGTGTGTCTGCGTTGGGTTGCTTGAGACTAACATTAGGAACAAATCCAGCGTCCATCTTTTTTTCATAAATGGCATCCCAGTTGATGTCAACGAGGTAGGGAGAAGTCTGCATGTCAGACAGGCTGGAGAATCGATGCTCAGGGTTCACTGTAAGTAGCTGGTGGACACACACACACACACACACACACACACACACACACACACACACACACACACACACAGTTTTTGCTTCAGACAGAGCAGTTTCAGAAAAAAAAATCAAAACTAATGAGAGTAGTTGGTGTAGTTTGACTGAAAATAATAAAACAAGAATATATCGTCAATAAAATACCATTTTATCTGTGTGTTGTGTACATCTCTCACCTTTGTGTAGGACAACAGAAGCAGGTCAAGTCTTAAATCATGACACAACTTTTCACATCAGCAACACTGTGCTGAATTTGCCGTGCTCATCGCTTTGACAGTGTAGGCCATACTTGAGAATATTCATTCCTGATTGAGCTGATTCCATACTGCCAATAGCACCATAATAATTCACGAACTGGGACTTCCCCATTTTTGAGAACATTTGCTTCACCTTTTTGAGCTCCCTGCACAAAATAGTTGGCAAAATCCTCCACTGCGCCTTAAATAAATTCATTCGAGGGGACGTTTAAACCCACGTGAATCCACGAACCAACAGGGGGCAGTGTTCATCCAATCAGTCATCCGTTATGTTAGACCCGAAATTGTGCCTCAACTGCTGTGGACATCTTCTTTGAGAGAGGAAAAATTAACTGACACTGTTCATGGCGTTTCACTTTATGGAAACTAATGGCAGAAAAAAATAATGGTGTGTGACTTTGGCTGTCACAGTAACACTCCTGTGCTTTTTCGCCCCTTGTTGATTTCAGCAGTTTCTTCCTGCAGGGCAAGATAGATCTGTCTCACTGGAGACCAGACAGAGTAATCGATTAGCAGCTGAGTGGAAAAGACCCGCACTCCATCCAGAACATTCACACAGACACAGTGCATGTGCACAGTAGTTGTGCCAAATAATACCCAAGCTCTTGTCTTCCAATGACAGAATACTGCCATACTAAAATAACTGCAGTTGTTTTCGGGGAAAGTAGTCTTGATTCAGTAAGCATTGAACAGATTAATCAAATTGAGTTAATCAGGTGAAAGGTTTGGTTTTTATGCCTTTAATTGCAAAAAAAAAAATAAATAAACAAACAGCATGCACTCGGTCCACAGTTTCTCTGCCTCCTTGTCAGATTCCTAGCCTTCTGTTGCCTCCTACTCCTGAGGGTCTCCACTCATGTTCCCCGCAGCTGTAGCCAACCCATTTCCCATCGACCACAACACGACCTCTGATATGACCCTTTTATCTGCTCCTGTCTTCCTGTCAGCCTGCTCTTGAATTGATTCTGATTTCATCATGTTTTGATTTTACAAAGCTTAATGCCCTACATTTACCTTGTTTATGATAGTAAGGCCCAAAACAAAACCGTGTTTGTAGAGAAATAAATAAAACATAAAATGCATATTCAATCAAAAGTAAAGCTATCCAGATAAAATACCGGTAATCTTATAATTTTGAATTGTTGTTTGTAGATACAGCATGATTGCCTAAAAGTTGTGGATTTTCCAGTGGGTGACAGAATCCATGACTTCAGGGGAGGTACCATACCTTCACAAAAATAAAGAAAAACATTTATGTATGTTTGAAAATATCTATATTTCTAATTTCTTCTGACAAACAGTGAAAGAAGAGACAAAGTCATTATACATGTCAAGCAGAGTACTCCACAAAATGCTCCAGCTTCTTTCACAAGGGCTGGTATTAAAAGATTCACACAAAATGTTGAGTAATTAGCAGAGTGGATGGAATGATCAAAATAAGTTTGTTTTTTTTTTGCGGTGGTTTAAAAAAAGTCTTCAAATGTTAAATTATGTCAAAGTCCATCAACATTTCAGTTTTTTTTTAAAGAAAATGTTGCAATGTTAATTTTGTATTTTTTTTTTCTCGAAATTCCTGACACCCCTCTCGCAACGAACTACAGATAAGAAGATACGTACTCTATATAGGGATGGGATTGAAATCGGAACACACTGTGAAACCCATTCTGCAACCAAAACCACTTATCCAGCTGAGCTGGAGCCTATCCTCGCAGACCACAACCTAGAATGGTCACCAGTCATCACAGGGCACATAAAGTGACAACCAATCACACTCATGGTAAAATTGCAGTGTGGAAACGGAACCCATGATGCCTCCATAGAAGTCATGCAGGTGCACCACTATGCTGTCAGTGACGACTTTAGAAACCTGAAATAAAATAAATTGGCCACTGCCTCGGGAACTTTACCGCGGTAAAAAGCCATTTACAAGGCAATCTGCATCATAACTCACAAAGAACGTCTGATATCTCCCACTTACCTTCCTCAAGAGAGAAACAAGGTCTTTGGGCCAGGCCGGGCTGTACTGGACACTGACTGTGCTGAAGAGCTGGATTAGAGACTCCAGCGAGTTACTGGCATGGATGTCATAGGGCCTCTGGATGCATGGAATGAAGGAAATGTGAAAGAAACATCAAAGAAGACATCGTTAGGGGAACATTATTTTTGTAATGTATACAAAGAGTTGAGTTTCTGGGGTGCCTCCTCATCAATCAACTGTGAAATCAATCACCCATGTAAAGCTTCTTTATCTTTGGGATATTTTGACAAAATCATGTTATTAAAAGACGGAGAAACTGGTCTAAGTTGTGGAAAAAAATGTGTGTTTCTCCTACAAGGAGGACAAGTTCAGAGTTGGAATCTGACACCTTACCCATCCCCGCAGAACTTCGAAGACTGTCACCCCTAATGACCACCAGTCTACTTCAAATGCGTAGCCCATCCCTCCATTCATAAAGGATTGAAAGATCTCTGGAGCTGAGAGGGAACACAGTCACAGTGTACAGACAGTTCCGATTTCAAACATACACACAAACACATGAAGCGATGAGGAAATCAACAGACATCCGACTTTGGCACCTTTTGAGACAGCGTCTCGTCCAAGGTTCCAGACAAACTTTAATTTATTTATTTACTAGGAGCACAGTGGCCCTTAACCTGATATTTTCAGGGCACAATATTTAGGGGTGCACACAAATCACAAATGAACTTGCAATGTGAACATTCACATTTCCACTCACTATATTACTGATAAATGACAGAAATGTACAATGTGTATTTGAAAAATGAAGTATCAAGAGTTAGGGGAGTCAAAGGCCAAAATCCTGCTCCTGTTGATGTTTCACAAGACACTCACAAGAGTATGCAAATTACACAATACAGCTGCAATGTTACCCATGTATGGCTTGGTTCCAGCTAAGGCCGTTGCTCGCTCTCCGTCCTTTATTATTGTCGCTATGTTGAAGTCTGTCAAATGAGCATGGCCTGAGAGGAAACAAATACTCGTTAAGTTTGAGTCATTAATTATTTTGATAAGCAAAATGACCAAGAGAGACGTTAATCCTTGTTACGGTTATGAGTATCACACGTTTGTAACTTTCCTAGTCTATTATGACTTTGTTATAGATGAAATGAAAACAGGAAAACAGAGCCCATAGATTCATTTGTGTGTGACTTTGGGATATGGCCCAGACGCTTTGGTGCTGTTAAATTAAACACTGAATTCAAACTTTGAAAACCTGTTTGAATGTTCTTTTGCTGGTTGTGCATTTACAAAATTGTGCCACTAGGTGACTGTTAAATCAGTTCGAATAAAGCTTGCAGTGTGCATTTGAGGTGGTATATTCTCTGCCAGAGAGATATGGAGAGATATTGATGGGTTTTTTTTTTGTTTTTTTTAAGGCAGATGCTGATATTCCGCAGGAAAAAAAAAATCCCATTACCAATTAATTGGCAGACAAATTAAATGTGTATCATTCATAAAATAACTTCCTGGTATGTTGGAAATTATATATTTGGCCATTTATGACCTTATTTTAGTTTAACTCTATATTGGTGGATGTCAATAAGAGAGCATTTTGCTTAGGCAGGAATGGGAAGAAATGGGTTTTATTGTTAGTACAGTGTAATTGAGTGAAAAAAATCACTCTTGCCATTAAATGATGGTAACCTCCGCATTTATTTCACTGGCTGCCAAAATCAATTATTTTCATCATTTAATGAACAATACATCTCTAACATACTTTAATGTAATGCATCGAGGCCACAAAGGAAGACTCTAGCTAATAACTGGAATTAGGCAACCAAGCCAACTCGGTTTATAAAACCAGATGTCATCCTTACCTTGCTCATCCAAGAGAATGTTGTCTGGTTTGACATCTCTAAAGGAGACAAACACAATAACTTTATTCAGTACATGGGGTCAATGCCATGTCAGATATGAATACAGTATGTTTCCATATAGTAATACAGTAGTGCACTGTCTGTTATCAATCCTAGTATTGGTCTGGTAAATAGGAGTCACTGAGATGACATGTGTATGGGAAGTACAAATTATTTGTTGTGTATGTGAAGTACACATTATTTGTTGTGTATGTGAAAAACCCGTGGGAGGTGATTCAAGGCGTATGTACAGTAAGTGTGAAGTACATGTTGTTGCAACATGTGTGTTGTGGATGAGCATGACCATCACACAATAACAGGCAGGAAGTATGCATTCTGAATTGAACCCCTCCCAGAATGCATCAGAAGACCTCACGGAGGCTCGCACAGGTTTGGTAGCATATGCTCAATATTAGTCAACCACGCCACTGAGTACATCTCAGTGGCGTATATCAGTACATCATATTTTAGCAGTTCCCGGCACACTCAAGCCAGCCACATGATTAACACAGAGTGGGATGCCAAATTCATTATACTACACACACTACAATGCATAACATAAGCATTCATGGGCCGATTGCTTCCAATGTTTTAAGAACCAAATGCTAAAATTGTCTTCCAAAGAAAAAAAAAAAAATGAGGGTTGGTATGGTGTAGCAGGCTGAAGGGGCATACATGCATATTCATGAAGGAACTTCTAAAGAAAAGCTACACTAATGTAATAACTCCTTTAACTTATTGAATCACATTTCCCTAACATTTAAGGTGTTTTGTAACAAGTGGGAAGTCATGGAATTTCTTCTTTGTTAACCAGAAATACCCTTGACGAGGAAATTAAATGAGCCAAGATGTTTGGTGCGCTAAAATCCTGATGGATACTACACAAGAGGGACTCATCCCTTTTCCTCGCTGAGTAAAAGAACAAATTTTGCCTCCTTGGGCATAGCAGCAGCAGCAGCAGCAGAAGCTGACTGTTGCTAGGAGACCAGAGACCTTCTTCCTTCAGATAATGCAACAAAATAATTGTCTGGCATTCTCCTGTCAAAAACTTGCCGAGTGGAACAAAACTGAGGAGCTAGGGGTGACCATGGTTTGGATTATGGCTGTGAGAGTAGACGGTGACAAAAGAAAACAAAAAAAAACAGGAAAGCCGATGCCAGTGGAAGGGATGAAATAAAGTAAAAGACTTTTCATGTACTGTCACTGTCAGCTCAGTTTGCAGTTTCCTTAAAGGAGCCGACCATCAAATCGCGAAAGGAAGAAACCCAAAAGTAAATATACAACGTAATGGAATTTGCTTTCATCCTACATCAGAGATAATGTGATGTTAATTGTTTCCTTGCAGATAAACACAAGTGCACTGTTCTCGACATGCACGCACAGCACACACTTCAGTGTACCGTAGGCCAACTGAGTTCACACTCTTTTTCTGCCTCGCGTGGTTCTAAATCTGGGTCTGCAGGGAACTACCTCGTTCACTAGCTTACAATTAATGGTGTGCTCAGCACATCTGAACAAAGGCTGCAGACTGAATGCTCAACATGGCAGCAGATGATTAATTGTTAAGTGTTAATCTAACACACATAAAACTTTTCAATGAAAATACTGAACAACTAAGAATAGGAATTTACGCGTTGTGGATGAGTTATTAGTGAATAATAAGTCAGTCGGACAGCTGCATCATATTGCTCACACAGACGTCATTCACACCAACAGCTGTTAATATAGTCTTACAATTAAACGATATATAAAAATAAACCTGTTAACAGAACAATGATTCTGATGTGGTCAGTTGTGAAAAAATATGTTTTATTCTTGATCCCAAATTTCCGTCAAGCAACTTTAAAGTGCCGCATCCAGACAAATGATACAGAACGTACACACATAGAAAAAAGATACTTGTGCGGCTGATGTGTTGCCACTTGACATTTGCCACAGAAAAATCCCAGGCTCAGGTTCCAGCACATGTTCTCCACCTCCAGTGGTTGCTTAAAACTAGGATAAGTTTAACTCCATGCATGCCCACGTCAGTTTGACAGGCAGTTCATTTGAGTGTTGTTGCTCTTTTTATACCACTGACATTCCGTACGCTCCTATCAACGCATTGTTCCTGGTTGACATCTGTGACGCTGCAGTTTTAGCATAAAGCTAGCAACTCAAAAAGGAAAGGGTAGTTACGAGTACAATGAATATTGATCAAACAGCTGACTGATTCAAAGGGGTAAACAAATCTGCAGTGTAACAAATTGCTTTTAAAAAAACAGTAATTTTTACAGTTGCAGACTGTTTCTGAAAAAATACACACACACACACACACACACACACACACACACACACACACACACACACAAATGATGCACTCTGGGATACAGTGGAAGATAGCTTACCATCAATAAACCACAAATCAAATATAGAGTCACCAGATTTTCAAAATTGTAATTTCTCAGAAAATCCAATATACAGTAAATTCTCACCAGCAACTATTTATATCAAATGTAATTGCTAGTCAATCTGGCAAGCAGTTGCTGTGTTATTACTTTATGTAATAATATCTTGGTTGACAGTTCAACAGAGGTAAACAAGTCACTTCATTCAACCTTTTTTGCTCTGCAGCTATTGGAAGCTGCCTGTGCTGTTTACCCCGCACCTGTTGCGCATTGTAACGTTGGTTCTTGCAAATTCATTTAAAATAAAAATGAATCTGCAACATGTGCACCAAGTGTGGCACAGAAAAGGCTGGTAGAAGTACAGGTACGTGAAAATAAAAGAGGTTGACTTCCTACCTGTGGATGATGTGCTGGCTTTGCAGGTAGTCTAGTGCAAGTGTCATCTCACAGAGGTAAAGTTTAACAGCATCCTCGCTGAATGAGACACTTTGCTGCAAGTGGTAACGAAGGTCCCCTCCAAGGAGCAGATCCACCACCATGAACATGTCCTCCTCATCCTGGAATGAGTACCTGGCGTGGGGTTTTGGTTGTAAAGGGAGAAGGACGCCGCACTAAGTCACCGCTAGATTTTCAAAGAAACACAAGCTGCACACACAAAAGGCAAAGACGCACACCTTGCAATGACATGACATCGATGCATGCAGTACTTGTGCAAAGCTTAAACTGGATTTGTTTCAAAAGCCACGTTACATTTTTTTAAAAAAAACACAAGTGACAGAATGCAAGATGTGCATTCAGAGTATGTTGCGATTTGAGGATGAATGCACCTTAAATTGCAGTAACAGAGATAAATGTCGATATGTTTCTAGCATGCCATTTTTTGGAGTTAGAGATGAAAGTGGACTTTCCTGAAAATACAAATATATATATATATATATAGATAGATAGATAGATAGATAGATATATATATATATATAAAATTTTAACTGACTTACCAGGTTTGTCGACCTTTCTAAAGTAGTCGGATAAAAAAATAAAAATCTCCGTTCAAGTCCTTTTAATCAACCCATTCCTAACACTCGCGTCTATTGCACGTATGTCTGCTTGCCTGTCTACCTGTTTGAACATTGCGCTGGGGCCGTACCTGGCCGATCACATGTGAATTAGTTTACACAAAACGCTATTCATATACTCGACACTCAATGATTAATCCACCTTTTGTGTACACACGTGCACCCTTTGTGGCTTCCGTTCTCGCCGAAATTTCGAAATCTCCGAGATATGGCGAGGCCATGACAATGCGAGGGGAGGATGCCTCAACATGGCGACGCTCGTGAAAGCAAAACAACGAACTCAAATGCGTGTTCGTTCAATGTTGTCAACTAATATCCGGATTAATTTTAGGCAATTTTTCCTCAATTTTCCGGAGGAAATTTCATGAAAATTTGAAAATCCGGAATTCCGGGAAAATCCGGAGGACTTTCATCTCTACGGAGTGAATGCAAAAAACGAAAGTGTTGTTTCAAGTGACATACCGGCCATTTTTTTTAAAATTGATTTTAATCAACTGGAAGCTGCTTTTGCCCCACAATTTGCACCTTTGTTAATCAGGCTTACTAAACCATGCAAAATCAAATTAAAACACAAGCTCAGCAAGAGAATGGGGATTTGAAATGCTTCACGTCATGGCCTCTGCTCCATAAACAGACCAATCCATCAAGCACATGGGTGAACAAACTGAATACAAACAAATTCAATACGGTATATCATTTTAGAAAAGTAGGCAGAATGTTGTTTTTTTTTTTCAATATGCAGAGGAGGTGGTATTACACATTTCTAATGTGCCACTGGCTTCTTCTTCTATTTTTTATTTTGTTATTTATTTTTAAGCCCTATAGTAAATTGTATTCCACTTGTAACCCTCAGCACTGTATATGTCTGGTATTCACATTCTGATCATTCCTCTTCAGATGCAATGCCCTGCATCTATAAACTGGGATTTTTTTTTTTTTTTACTGAGACTTCTTGCTTCAAAGAAAAAAAAACATTCGAAGCACTGTTTGATGCTTCTTCTAAAAGCCTTTGACTTACCCTTGACTTTCATGTGATTGGACAGATAATGGCTGGTTCTGCTTTGTATTGCTATTAAATAATTCAAAATTACATTTCCTCCTGCATACAAATGGCTGGCCAGTCTTTGTATGATACATGAAGGATAGCAGAACCAAAGATGCAAAGATCATCTTCAATGTAGCAGAGCCTCAACAGATGGCTAGCCCCAGGATGCAGCATTCCTCATCGTCACCCTTTTATCACCTCATGGGCAATATCTTCCTCACAGGGGCCACTTGACCAGACAGCTTCCTCTGCTCTGGCACTCGTTATCTCATTGCCCCACATTCATTGAGCTTGTGTTTCTATATCGAGCACATAGCACATGTTTGGAATCGCATAAAAAAAATGTGAGTTATTACAACATCCCTGAATCAAACTGTGTGGTATTTAAAAATCAACATTTATGCAGTGGTACATGATCAAAAGCTGAGACAAGTTAAAATCTTGGTGAAGAAGTGAATGCCTGAGGTTTACAGAGGTCTGTTCAAAAGCAGGAAGAGGGTACTTTCGGTCAGAACAGGACTGGCCTGCTCCAGTCACAGCAACAAAAAGAGGAAGGTTACCCCAGTAGAAGGAGAACAAGGAAAGGGCTGCAATAATCAGGCCACAGTGACAAACGAGCACGGGGAGGCAGGGAACAAGGAGCTATCGAAGATGAGAGAAAGAGAACAGTTTTGTGCCAAGGAAAGATACACATTTGTGATCCTGTTGGCTGTGTTTGGTCTGCAAAATGAAGGCAACCTATGTCAATGAAGTTGACGACTGGCTAGTTGGAAGTGACTGCATCCCTTCACCACAACAGACTTGCAGGTGGCTCAAAAGATTTCTCCAACTGTGTGATTGAGCACTGTCCCTGCTTCTCAACACCTGAAGGCATACCACCTATTGTACCTGTACAATTTAAGTTGCCCTGCTTTCACAACTGACTCTCCCATTTGTATTATACCCGCCCCCCCCCGACCCCCAATACAGTAGTTTTCTAAAAGTAGCAGCACTGTGCCAATAACACACGTCACCCAAGTTATAACAGCATGGGAGGCACGCCACGTTTTAGGCAAATGATGTATGTTTAAGTCAACTTGTTATGAATTCTCACTGAGGGTATAAAGGGTTACTTTGTTCCACAATTGCAAAAAGGCCCTGTTTCACCCAAGCTTGAAATCAATATTCCTAATGGAGCCTGAGCAGGCCGCAGCAGATCTATCCTCGGCACTCCTCTTGCTCAAATTGGATTCTGATGAGAGGATGAATAAACAAGAGGAAAACACCGTCACATTACCCATTTTAGTTAAAAAAAAAAATCGAGATATATATTTTAGGACTTCCTGCAATTACACGAGTTAACCTTGCCGCTCAATCAATGGTTCAACAAAGCAAAAGGCAACATCCGTTTGATGTTGATTCCTTGGGGAAAACTAGTCATGCTTTTTGAACATTTTGTGGTCGTGCTTCAAGCAAAATTGTATTTTCTAAGTACGCACGATTATTCAAGAACCACAGAATGGTGAGAGATGACCTCTAAACTCTAGGTTTGAAACATGCGGAAGAAAGGAAGAGTCGGTCTTCCCATGTGCTAATCCTTGAAAGGATTTGACACTTGTAGTACACAGTACGCAATCTTCACAGCTCCAAGGTAATCCATTAAATGTTACCTCAACTCCTACACATAGTTATGCAGTGAGGGACTGGGTGTAGCAATTACAGTGTGTTGTAAAGTCAACATCAGCTCTGCTTAAGGCAACACAACTGATGGGATTCACCAGGTAGCCTTTTAATTAATTTGCTTTGCAGCTGTACTGGTAGTACAAAAAAAAAACCCAACAGATTTCTGGATATCTCCTTGAAAGTCAGAATTAACTCTCCGTGTGTGGGTTAAGGATGGAGGAAAATCCTATTTACAAATCCTATCGAGTCTGAATACACATACTACCCTAGCACTGGTTTCAACAACTCTCCTGTTTGCTCTCTCCACGACGGGAGAAATTATTTACTGTGACAGCTGTTTGGTGTGTTCCTGCCTTCATAGTAGCTACGGATGTGTATGAGGCTCCCTCCTGGCATGGTCTCAAGAAAAGCACTTCTAAAACGATATCAAAGCTGGTGTTTCTCACATGTTTGCTTGTGAGAATAAAGAGATCCCCAATTCCCCAGCGGCTCTATTGCACACCCATTAACAATTACTGGACTGGCCTGCCCAATTGCTTAGCAACAGAAATTGCAACACTAAAGGGGTAAGCTCATGAACATGGAATCTGTCAGATCTATAGGGTTTTCGCAGTTGGTGAATTCATTGCATTTCTAGCCATTATTAAATGAAGGAGACGGTGGCAAGATGAAGCAGAGGCTTCATTAGTCCTGTCTCATTACCTGTGCAGCTGATAGGCTGTCAAGTAGAATTTAATAGAGCGGATTCATTGCAATGCAGACTAAACACGATACACTGAGCATCTTGATAAAGAACTGTATTAAAACTGGGAAAGAAATAAGTTATACAAAGTACACACACGCACGCACGCGCATACACACACACACACACACACACACACACACACACACACACACACACACACACACACACACACTCTTTGTCGAACACCATAATTTTAGAAGCTAATGCTTGTTACAAACTAACAGTCTGTGCTAGCACTGCAGCGTTGCTTACCTCTTGGCTTTGACATGACGGTGCAACAGCTGCCACGTCAAATAGGTTATTTTCCTTAGGGAACTTTGGCTAGCCAAGCAAGCAAGTCATTGTTGGAGAAATGTAAAATGTTAATGACGTGCAAAGCAGGTCCTCGTGAAATTCAACAATCAATACAATTATTAAGAAGTCAATTTTTTTCACATAATGTTCTCTTGAAGATCCGATTTGTTAATCTGTAAATAAAACCATTAAAATATTGCTCAAACATTGGCAGTAATGGTGGAAGCTTTGTACATGATTGCAAATCCCAGTCACTTCTGGGCAATCAGACTATTCCTGACATAAGAGTACTTGGGTCTTATTAAGACTGGGGAATTATGGCTTCAAATGAGACGGCAAATGGGGTAGTGTTTGTTTCCATATTGGATGTAGATTGCAAGTTGCTCTATTACCTACAAAGTAATTCTGTATCTGTAGCAGCAGCGGTAAGCAGAGCACCACGGCGCACAGCAAACTAGAACACAGAAGGCTTTGGCAGTGAAACACTCGTGATGGGAATTGAACTATAAAAAAAAATGATACAAGCTCACTACTGTACACAGATTAAAATGGCCTCCATTTGATCTAGTGCAGTGGCTTGTAAAGATGGCCACAGCCTCTCACAATTAGACTCAATACTTTGTCTCCACACATCTTGTCCCTAACTGCATATTATGAGGACATCATGCATGATGTGAAAGGGACAAAATATTCTTGCCACGTGTCTGGAAAAGATGGATGCACGCAATATCATGCTACCAATTACAGGAGAGTTAAGTGCTTTGTGCAATATGCCATGAATGGCGTGCCAGGTCCCCAATTACATTTAGAAACGTGTCCCACCCGGTGATGAGCGTTGAATAATGAAAGCAGCCGCCACTCACTAACTTATCCAACTCGAGGGAGAACCGAGGTCAATTCAAAGCACAATTATTATCAAATGTGGAAGCGTGCTTACCGAGTCCAAAATATCTTGTGTAAATGATCCAAGTTAATACCTGTGATGTCTGCTAAGCTGTGCAAAAGTTTTCCTCCTCTTGGTGCCAAATGAAGTGTTTGCAATACGAGGTGCATTATATCTACAAAGAATGTACTGTATCTCTTTCAGGTTTCAAGCAAACATGCATCCCTCGAGTTACTTTTGGCTGGACATACATGCAGACAAGGGACAAAGCTTTGCATTCCACATTGAAAGGGTAAAAACATAAGATAGTCACCAGAGATTTACTAAAAAAACATGTTCAATTTCCTGGAGAATCTCAAGCTCTCTAAAGACGTTTCGGACCTCATCTCTTTCTATACATTGTTGTTTGTTCATGTATTTCATGGCGTACATCTTCTCCGTGTCCCTCTTTTGCACGATGCATACCTGCAATGGAAGTGACAGAATGAAGTGATGAGAGAAGGGAGAGAAAAATGGAAAAGAATAGGTAAGTCGTCATTTTAAAGCACAATATCATAAAATACAATGTGTGATTCAGAGGTGGACACTGCCATCAGTCTTGACTGCTTCATTCCAGACTGAGGGAAATTTTCAACATGGATACACTACACAGATGCTTTAAGCACATTTAAACGTAATACTGTAGGTATTGTAGTGCCTGTAACCATGCATGTGGTATATGCCTTTATGTGTTAGTGCCTGGTGGAATGGCGTGTGATGTATACGAGTCTGCGCGTGTGAGTGTCTGGGCATCAGCAGTGGATGGTGGCAAGCCCCACTGTTAAAATTATTAATAATAAACATAAATAAATGAATCAATATAACACCAGAAAGGTGTCATTTTCTGTCTGTTTTGATTATGTTTCAGCTCCAGCTGGAGTTGGACTTGAAACAGCTGGAAGGGCAGCTGGCTCGGTACACCCTGAACTGGTTGCCAGCCAGCCAACCATTCGCGCTCACAATCACACCGAGGGATACATTTTGGGGGGATGTGGCGGTAAACCGGAGAAAACCGACACAGGCACGGGGAGAATGTGAAACTCGACACAGGAAGGCCGGGCCTGGAATCGAGCCAATGACTTCTGCGGTGTAAGGTGGACGTACAAAGTAGTCGACCACCATGCCGCCCGCATGGTATTTTTTCCTTAATATCAAGGGAAGATATCAAATTATGTTCACAAAAATAAAGCCTTAATGCGTGAGTTTGCAGTTTTTAGCAGTGACACGTCACACTGATATGCTGATTTGACTCGGATATAGTGTGTTCTTTTAAACAAACAAATAAATAAATAAATAAATAAATAGATAGATGAAAAGAAAAAGCTAAGTCGGCCTTGAAATGAACGGCTCTCATTTTTTCACTTGCATTACTTTCATCACAGTAACTACCTGCTTGCTCATCTATAATTGAGCAACATACATTACCAGTGATAACATTTTAAAACAGAACATAGTTTTTTGTGTTATATTATCTACACTAGATAGGTCCTTAAGAATTGTTAACATTGCTTCATGCACTTGTATTTAAAAATCAAAGCATCCCCACTAGACCAAAAAGCCTCTTTATCAGTTTATTGGCATCGGTGAGTTGAGATTCTCAGCGTTACAACTTACAGCTCCTGACCATCCCTTATAGCAAGATGATCATTGCACTCATCACAATACCCAGTTCTCTTTGCTCTAAGTAAGGCCATATGCACTGCACTGTGATAGAAGGGAGTCTAAATAAACCTCTCCTGCAAACGAAATGTTGTTTGAAGGTCCTTCTTTTCTGGTTACAAAAACATACAACCTCTTAATAAGACACACACAACCCTTTTATGTTAAAAAAATGTTTTCCATGCCAGTGTCAAGTACTTGGTTGAAAAGCATGCCATCTTTTAGAGACACTCTGGCATTTCACTGGTTCAGTGGACCTATTTTAGACTTCTTCATAGCACTGGGACCTTAAGTATAACATTCAAGGCAAGGATTATGTAACTATTGTGAAAGCTACCCTGAGCTTCACAAAGAGTAAACACAATGTGAACTGAACTGCATTTATTTCACAATACAGAGAAAGATGATAAATGCCATACTAGGAGAAAAACAGATCACGAAGGTCAAACTTAAGAAACTGAGACATTTTCTTAAAGGGCATTAATAATTATGTATAGCATGTGGAAATTGGGTGATATTCGATCAAGATAATGTAAGTCAATTTAAAGATCACAAATTATGGAGCTCAGTTTCTCCCCAAAATGTTTGGGAAAATATGTGTGTGTGTGTGTGTGTGTGTGGGGGGGGGGGGTGTCATTTATATCTGCAAAATGCTAGTATTCGTTGAATCGCAAACCTGAAAAGCAATCATTTTCATTCAGACAATGCTTTATGGGCTCTAGCTCAAAACATGGGTGTGTGACTTCGATCAGTTTACTCCTGGAGGGTCACATCCCATTCAAGAATCTGAAAAAAATTACTAAGAAGGGGATAAGAACCAGAACCGGACGACGAGAACAACAACTATTTCCACCGCACCTGATGTTTCTATTTCAATTTCAGAGCTTCGAATAATGATATATCCAATATTTTAGGTAACGTTTGTAAAAACATGATCTTTTTAGGAGATAAATCAAGGTTTTGACAGGATTAAGTGTGATCATCATGTCTGAGTGTGGCTCACCCTGTTACACAGGATTTTGGTCAGGAGTTGTGTGTCAAGCATAAGCCCAACCATAACTGTCAGGCATGTAGCCGTGGCTCTTTTCTGGCTGGAATCTTGGTCAGCACAGTAAAATGATAAAAGTTCAAAAGGATTTATTCATATATTCATACAGACTAGAAGCAATCCAGTGCATTAAACTGGCTCACTGTGGAGAAGGCAAGACCAATATTTTAGTTTATATTTTGTGGCAGCTTTCCTCCAATGTCTTAAAAGCTATTTGCATATAAATTGAGACATTTTCCACTGAAACTGAAAAAAGTAGCGTACAGACTAAGGCACATCTCTGTGAAGTGTCGTTTTGGGACAGAGGTTTCAAAAAAAGACCACAGTCAATTAATGAAAAGCTCCCACTTGAACCAAACAAGCTATTAAACTTTGTGAAATAATAAAAAAAAAGCTTCTTTTTAGGCAGGTAGATTTGACACAGATCAAGTTTGCAGTGCCTTGTGGGTAGGTAGTGGTCGTAAAGGTCTTTCGAGCCACTGGCTCGGTCAGGGGTGCCAAAGTCCAGTCCTCAAGAACGAGCTCATCAGCAAACTTTGGCAGAAGCCTGATAATGATCTTTATCATTTGAATCTGGTGTATTGTCGGAGGGAGACATCTAAAACAGGCTGGATCGGGGCTCTCGAGGACCGGATTTGGGCACGCCTTGGCTCGATGCTGCCAGCTGCCCCCCAAAAAAACAGGCCATACATTTTTGAACCTGAAATTAAAGTTGAATTCATCCCAAATGGGACATAATAGGGATGCTCTTTGTATACATTTTCAACACGCGGGTAACATTAACCACAAATACCATATGTAGTTATTTTTAGACGAACTGGTCAACAGTTAAAACGTTAAACGACCAGGGGCTGCTGTTTACTTGTTTTTCATCTTCATTTGCATTGGGGACTGCAAAGGGACATGGTGGAGGGCGAAAACTGAAAATCTGTTTTGAGCAGCTGTGTTTACACCCTGCATCTTATTACTCGAAGTTACGGTCCAGGTGACAAAGCATTTAGCACTGCGGCTGATGCATGATGCATAGCCAACTGAAAATGTGATAATTGTTTCTGTTAAGGACACAATAAAATAGACGTTAAATATATATAGACAGACGGTAGTGCATCGGCCAAGTCAAACGGTTCTTGATGTGTATTGAGCACAATGCTGGCTTGGAGTGAGATGGTGTCTCAATGTTGGCTGTAATCTTTGACCGCCAGCTGCTCATAGAACCTGTTTAACTCTCCCAAATAGCTTTTTAGAGTGGGTGAGACAGGCAGGTGCACGCACACAAAAACAAATTGATTTCACTCTGGATGGAAGAGCGGTGTCGGTCTCATTAGTATCCTTGAAGACAGGCGCTCAAATATATTCAGTTTGACATCGCACAAGCTTCATTGCTCACAAATACTTTTTATCTCTGAAGCATGACTGTTTTTTTTTTTTAATCTCAGGACAGTCATTATTTAATTAGCACAAAAAGGAGAATAACACTAATAGTGTAGTAGCAGGCTGCTTCTTATAGTCATGGGTCATCCGAAATGCTGAATGAGTCTTACTGCAATTGACCAATTGACAAAACATCATCTTCAAATTCAAAGTCCAGTAATATATGAATAAAGAAGTTTGATATTAGCGAATATCTCAACAAGTGAGATGCAAATGAGTTCCGACCTATTGAGAAAGTGAATTTGTTTTTTTTTTTATAGGTCATTTAACAAAGGTTGGGTGCCTTCAAGGCAATGATGTCTGGTACTTATTTGTGCAATAATTTTAATGAAAAGGATGGGGCGCCACACTGGGCTTTCCGAAGCTGGAAATGTCTGAAGACTTACAAGTTAGTGTTGGTAGAAAATTTTCGTAATATTCATCATAATCATTTGACAGATTTATCTACAATACCATTCGATTCAATTCCATGAAGCAGAATAATGATTGAAAAATAGCAAAGCCATTTTGTAGTACCCGTCAGCAGATCTGTACATCTAAAGATTATCAGAATTATTATTATTGTTTTTTGTTTTTTGTTACCCACAGGTAGTGAATTGTCACTTTGAAACCTACATGCAGGTGAAGTACAATCAGTTAATGGGATGGAACGGGAGTGAAAATCCACTCCCATGCCATCCTCTAATGTAGACGAGTTTCAGCAAGAACAGCACCCCGCCCACCCCGGGAAAAAATAAATACAAGGAAAACTGGCAGAAGGGAGTAGAGGGCGAAAGAAGAAAAAAATATATAAAGGAAAATATGATTGTATATGCTGAAAAAGCTTGGTTTATTAACGATGGCAGCACAGATATTGCGTTTGCTAGGTCTTATTCTGCAGACATTGATCAAGTCTGTAAATAGTGCATTACAACCGATCACCAATTTTGTATGAAATGCAAAATATCTGCCGATCCAATACAGCCAGTCAGATCTGTATCAAGTCTGTAATTATAAATATACCGGTAGGTAAGCATTGTTGAAAAGCCAAGGCTCAAAAAATATAAATTTCTCTCCAGAATCAGACACGTATTAATTGTGCTGCTATTATGTTATTCAAAGTGGGAAGTTACCAGCTTTAACGTGGTTCCACCTAGATGTCTGTGAAACGTGTAATCGATTACCCAAACACTTAATTGAGTTTGTCATGTCAATCTTAGCTTAGCTTAGAATTTAACATGGCTTCTTCATCTTTTCTCATCATCCCTTTGTGAGTATGATGCTTGGAAGAAATGCAGCTTATCAGCCG